TTAGAATTAGTAGAATCAAGTGATGAAGCAACTTGTTCTTCCATTCAGAAGGGTTTAAAAAGAAGAAAGGTCAATATAAGTACTAAAACAATCTGCCGCCGTCTTCACGAAGCTAACAAAATATTTTGTGCCCAAGTGTCCAAACCATTGCTGATTGCTAAACATATACGTAATCGACTGAACTGGGCACGGGGTGTTGTAAACGAGAACTGGGACAATGTAGTTTTCTCGGATGAATCAACGTTTCGTCTCCGGTCTGTCAAGAAATATTATTGGCAAGATCGGAAAAATCGAAAAGTTTATCGAACAGTCAAGTGGGGACCAAAAATCAATGTTTGGGGCTGTTTTGCGAGAAGTGGTTTTGGTCGGATTATCTGTTTTAAACAGAACTTGAATCGATTTTATGAATCTCTCTTCAACGTAATAAGCAAATGTCATGTCTCGGTTTCTCATGGTGGTCGCGATGAAACTCTTTGTGAAGTGAATTCTCACTACTCGTGAGTTCCTCGTTTAGCTGTTGAAATTTTTTTAAAACATTGTACACCTTGCCAAGTTAGAAAGCCAGTCAAACAATATGTAGTGTCCAAACCAATAATATCCTTAGGTGTCATGACACGGTAACAAATCAATTTACTTGACATGCGTACTAGACCAGATAAAATTGAACCAGATGTTGTTTTTAATTGGATCTTAAATTGTATAGATCACTTCTAAAAAAAAAACTTTTGCTCTCAGTTTGTAGAAAATTGAATGCTCTATCTGATAGCATGATCGCATTTTTAGCGAAATGTTTTTTAGGTACCGAAAAATTGGTTCGATTCGAAAAACTTCAGTTTTAGAAACCATGTTTTTTCGCTTGTTTGTTCTCCAATATATTCTGTTTCCACGCTAAAAAATCGAAAAATGTGTTGTTTGTTCAGTTGTTGATGGGCTTTCAAGTGAAATATTGCTCGAACAAAACGGACAAAAATTAACAGAGTTATACAAAAAAATACTGAGAATAGTGCTTTTTCGAATCTAAAAATTACAGGACTCGAAATGGACTCGGGACTTGGACTCGGTCCTTTAATGTCAAGGACTCGGACTCGGACTCGGCTTGACTTTTTAAAGACTCGGACTCGGTACTCCTCGGACTCGCCCATGCCTGCTTTGAAGTACTGTATAAGTATAACTATGAAACTCTCAAATTCTGAAAATCTTAGACATTGAAGTACTACATAAGTATACCTATAGAACTTTGGAATTCTGAAATTCTGAAAATTGTACTTGATAACGAACTTCAAATTTCTGATTTTTCATTCTATCGATTAGATCGACCGACTTTTGCTGGGAGCGTAGCTGTGTACATTCAAAACTCTCTCCCTCATTCTTTATTAGCAAACGACTGTCAACTCGAAACTTAACTATTTTCTATCCGTATTTCTAACTCCCTATTGTGCTTAGGTAACTCGTATCGTTCTGAAGCTCAAAATCCGTATCCTAATAGGTTTTTTGACAACCTAGAACTATTTCCCTTTTCTAATCTTCCTCAAAATTACGACAATCTCATTCTAATTGGAGATTATAATGCAGATCCGACTGATAAAAGTGTATTTGATGCTTTATGTGCTTTTTCTGACACTTTCTCTCCTTCGAAAACTCAGCCAACCGCAACCACATCTCTCGGTTCGTGTTTAGATTACATTATGTACCCTTCTATTTACAACCAACCTTCTTTATCCGACTATCCATCTATCGATGAGTCAATCCACTTTTCTTTAATTGTAACTTTTGATTCCTTCCATGTCAAACAAACTTCTGCTTCTTTTGAAGTCATTTAGGATTTCAGTGAGTGCGATATTGAGAAACTAAACTGTGCTCTATCTGACCTTTCTAGTGATTCCTATTCTTCTGGTGATCCTGATGAAATAATATATCAGACGTTAAGTAAAATAAAAGAAAATACAAAGATCGAAGAATTAATTGAATTTTTTGTGATATTAGCAAATTGTGGTAATAGTTGTGAAAATTTTTTAGTAAATGAAATTGTTCATAAAGCAAGTGTTAAAAATTGACAATTAAAATTAACTGATAGATTAGTAGGATATTTTTTAGTAGGATTAGTAGGATATTAGGATATTTAACGAATAAATATCCAATCTATAGTAATTATCTTAAAAATACGAACAATTATAAATTGGCAATATCAAAAAATGTTGCAATTACTAAAAATGCGTATAATCAAGCTAATACAACATATTATTACAATGCAAATGATATTGTACAAATATCCTCAGAGTGGATGAAAGATTTTGCTAATAGTTTTAGAATTACAGAAGCGTTAGATCAACAAGTTGACAGAAGTTTACGTGATATTCTAACGAAAATTTTAATTGAATATAAACAAGATCGAACATCAATAATTATTTTAATAAAAAATTAAATATTTTATTGAAAATTTTGAAATGAATAATTTTATTAGTGAAAAAGGAGTAGTAGAACTTCGTCAAGAAACATTTCCAAAGATATATGCTTTGAGTGTATGTCAATTATATAAGCGAAAAAAGTTGTTAATCATCATTCTGTTGAACTGAAATTAATACAGAAATTACTTGAAGTGGAAAACGACATTGTAAATTATTCGATAGTTACAGGAAAAGAAAAGAAACTTGAAAAAAATGGACTACAATTATCAATTGAATTACCTGAAGAAGAAAATTTAGTAAAAAAGAATTATCAATACTTGTATGTAATTGAAACTTCGAAATATTTGAATTTCAGTCATGATAGTGATTTAAGAAAGAAAATTATAGAAATCTTAGACATAAAAGAAATTTATTCTGTAGAAGAAAATGTTATAAAGTTGATGGTACAAGAACAATTGGTGTAAATTCAAAATATTTTAGAAAAGATGGCAGTGATTATAGAACAGTAAATATTCAAACTGGTAAATTTGTTAAAAAATAAAAATATTTTTAAAATTATACATATATCAATTAAAATATTATTTGGAAAATTTTGTCCTTCATTCTTTGTGCTCTTTTCTATTTTTGTTTTTGCATCAAAATGCTTTTTCTATATATGTTATGTGGCGAAATTCTGAATTTGATCAAATTAATATGGTATTATTACGGGCTCGGCCTTTACAACGTATCTTTTCTTTTTCTTTCATCTTTTTTTCCCTTCTCTGGATGTGATATCATTCCTTTCTTCATTCGAGATTATCCTTTCTTCGCTGTAATATCTTTTCGATTACGTATCATCATCTCTTTGTTGTGTTCGTTCTCTCTCTCTCTTTTCCCTGGATGCGCGTGGTGATATATATACGCGCGTATTTTCTTGTCTCTTTGGTCTGTATGTAGATTCATCGTTATGTGTGTGCGCGAGTGAACTTCCATTTCAAAATAAAGCAGAAAGGTTCCAAAGGAATGCATTCTCTAACAGGTATAAATTTCAATTTCGGTCAGGTTCAAACTGCAGTTCTAATTTCGACTGATCGAAACATAAATAATTCTACATCGAACGATATTAGTCAGTTTCTTTGATTACCCGTCACTAATTTACCTCAGAGTTTCTGAATTGAGGCTAAACCTTACACGGTTTAGCCTCGATTCGTCCCTTCTCATTTCGTCCCTTAAAATTTTTTTCTTGATTCGTCCCTTCTCGAATCATCCCTCAAATGCACGCATAGGCTAAATTATTCGGCTTTTAAATTATTTAATAAACTTTGTAAAAAGACCAACACTAATAATTAACAATATATAAACAGCTACAATACCATTATGCCCACAAGACAAATCAATTATTTGTGAAGATATCATGTTTTAATTGGGGTTAATTAAACAGCTCTACCACATTTAATAGCCAGTTCAGTATTTGTTATTGTTCTTTTTACGTGTTCTTCATGTAATTCTTTTAACTTACTATCAATATTATTGTATAAGTTTTTTCGTTTCCTTATTTGCATATCTGATTCTTCAGCTCTATGATGTTGATATAAATGTTCATCACGTAACAATTCAATAAAATGATAAATATGTGGGTGTTTTGGAAAATTACTTTCCAAACGACTATTGTACCCCTCAACATGATTGTTTGTCCTTGGTAAATCATTAATTATTGCATCATGCACATTCCATATATTAATCCCATATAAACTAATATCTATATAGGTTTGAACTAAATAATCATTGAATTCAGTAGCATTAGCATCATCTGCGGTGTATAAATCCATATATCCGTCCAAGTACTTTCAACAATGTCGGCTGGTATTAATGCTAAACCAATGGCACCAAGAAACCAATGATTGTTTCGGAGAATTTTTGTGTACTCCTCTACTGAATATCCGTAAGTTTATATAGGATAGTGAGCTTCTTTTTTTAAGAGCCATTGCAGATAAGCGACGACCAAGTACTGCAGAAGCTGCTCAATCGACTTTCTGCAAACTTGATTTCAATTACATAGGTCAAAAGCACAATCAATAGTAAGTTTTTTGCCGTAAATCGCAGCTCTACAACCGAAGTAGTTATTGAGATATTCAAGTTAAGAAAAGTTGCCATTTTTTTGGTGGTGAATTAGTATTAATTAGCGTTTAATCTTGAGTATGTTATTTTCTAACGGCTTGACTTAGAGACACGAAAATTTCAGCACAAATACAACTTGGATCAGGCTAGAAAACAGTGCAAGTCCGGACTCTAGAGGTCGTTTTATTATCAAGTTATAGATAGCGCTACCGCTACTACTTCACCATTCATTATCTCGTGCGTAACCAGCTCGGTAAGGCTCGGCATTTTAGGGTAGATACTAGAAGAGTGGAGTGATAAAACGGCAAAAGAAAAACTTTGGACTTCCAAGAGAAACGCGAGATATCGAATTTTTAGTGGAATTTCGGCATCGACGGATAGACTCAGTTCATATAAACCCTATCACCATTCGCATCGACCTTTGATTTTAGTGACGAGAACTGTCTCATATTGTAGAGCTCAGCAAGCTGAACCGAATGGTGAAAACCTCAAGTCTCTAGCCTTGTTAGAAAAAAAGTTATAGCCGATTTATCCCAGCAGCGGAAAAATCCATCTTCGTCATTTTCCGGCGGCTTTGGCCGAACTTGTAGAACATCTGCGGACCACAGTACCTAACGTAGAGCCCTGAACTTGGTATCAAATGGAAGAGCGCGTCGATTTCTATATATTTCCATGGAGAAAAGTTATGCTACACATCAGGGTCTTGAGATAGTGCTTTCTGAAAAATCCGGTTTTCTAGTAAACCTAGTAATCTTAAAATTTCTTTCAGAGGTTTCTCAACCGTATCAGTAGACAGCCCCTTCAATTCTCCACAAAATGAGATGCTGGTCAAGTTTCTACGATCTTGCCAAAAAGTACCATAGAGAATACAGCACTGCTCGGAAGTGGCAATAAAGGGAATGAATTTATATAATGTGTATATTTACGTACTGTGAAAAAGCCTGTAAGTCGGTCATCCGAAATTGCAGAAACTTGACCAGGATCTCATTTTGTGGAGAATTGAAAGGGCTATCTAATGGTATGGTAGAAAAGCTTCTGAAAGAAATTTTAAAACTACTAGGTTTCTAGAAAACCGGGTTTTTCAGAAATCTGTCTTCAGATCCCGAGTTGTAGCATAACTTTTTTCTTCATGGAAATATATAGAACTCGACGCGCTCTTTTCCGTTTGATACCAAGTTCAAGGTTCTGTGTTAGGTTATGTGGTCCGCAGACGTTCTGCAAGTTCGCCGAAAGCCGCCGAAAAATCACGAAGATGCATTTTTCCGCTGCGAGGATAAAATGGCTATAACTTTTTTTCTAACAAGGCTAGAGATTTGCGGTTTTCACCATTCGATTCAGCTTGCTGAGCTCTATAATATGAGATAGTTTTCGTCACTGATGTTAAAGGTCGATTCAAATGGTGGTAGATTTTATAGGGACTGAGTCTATCCGTCGATGCCGAAATTTCACTAAAAATTCAGTATCCGGCGTTCCTCTTGGAAGTCCAAAGTTTTTCTTTTCCGGTTTTATTACTCCCCTCTTCTAGTATCTATCCTGAAAGGCTGAGCCTTACTGAGCTGGTTACGCACGAGATAATGAATGGTGAAGTAGTAGCGGTAGCGTCATCTATAACTTGATAATAAAACGACCTCTAGAGTCCGGACTTGCACTGTTTTCTAGACTGATCCAAGTTGTATTTGTGCTGAAATTTTCGTGTCTCTAAGTCAAGCCGTTAGCAAATAACGCACTCAAGGTTAAACGCTAATTGATTGTAATTCACCACCGAAAAAATGGCAGCTTTTCTTAAAACTTGGATATCTCAATAACTATTTGGGTTGTAGAGCTGCGATTTACGGCAAAAAGCTTGCTATTGATTGTACTTTTGATCTACGCAATTGAAATCAAGTTTGGAGAAAGTCGATTGAGCATGGTTGGTCGTGGCTTATCTGCAATGGCTCTTAAGCATCCTAAACGGCTCTAAATTCCTCTGGGCACGGGGTGTTGTAAACGAGAACTGGGACAATGTAGTTTTCTCGGATGAATCAACGTTTCGTCTCCGGTCTGTCAAGAAATATTATTGGCAAGATCGGAAAAATCGAAAAGTTTATCGAACAGTCAAGTGGGGACCAAAAATCAATGTTTGGGGCTGTTTTGCGAGAAGTGGTTTTGGTCGGATTATCTGTTTTAAACAGAACTTGAATCGATTTTATGAATCTCTCTTCAACGTAATAAGGATTTATCCAATGAACCAAAGGTGAGTCGCTCGCGCGTTACCACTGCAGATGAAGATCAAATGATATTAGAATTAGTAGAATCAAGCGATGAAGCAACTTGTTCTTCCATTCAGAAGGGTTTAAAAAGAAGAAGGGTCAATATAAGTACTAAAGCAATTATTAGGATTATCTGTTTTAAACAGAACTTGAATCGATTTTATTTAGTAAATGAGATTTATCAAAACGTGTTATTACCATCAACCCGTAGTCTATTTAGAAGGGGAACACGGTGGAAACTTCTGGAGGACAACGATCGTAAGCATACGTCAGCACTTGCTAAACAATGGAGAGTGCCTAAAGGTGTTGAACGGCCAGCCGCAAGTCCCGATCTGAATCCGATACAAAATCTCTGGAATATATTGAAAATTAGAGTATCAGATAAGCAACCAAGAAATTTAAAATCATTGATTAAAACTATTCAAGAGGAATGGAATCGCCTTCCTATTGAATTGCGTCACATTTAGTTGACAGTATGGTAGCACGTGTAGCGGCTGTTATACTACAGAACGGTGACTACACGATGTACTATAAGCACGTGCATTTTTCTGTTTCTTTTTTTCTTTCTCTCAAATATAGAATAGTAGATTTGAAATAGTAGATTTGATATAATGTAATTTCTACTTATCTTCCTTACTTCGATTTTTGCTTGTTGTTTCCTGTTGTGTTGATAAGAAACTTTCTGATGTTGCCAATGCAGCAGCACTGGTACGCCTCTGTTGTTCTATAAAAGAAAAGGTGACTGTTACTCCTTTAACTGGATGATACGAAGACCGTTAGCAGGTGAGCCTTCACCTGCAACTTGAAATAATTCGCTGCAAGTAGTGAAATTTGATCTTCTGTTCAAAATAGAAATGCGGTTTCAATAAAATTGATTTTTTTCTATGTAGGTCATCGAAATAGATTTTCCAGAAAAAGAACTGCTGTCTAGTGAATCAAGTTCGATTTCATAGGAAAAGAAAGGTAGAGTAATAGTAAAAGTTAAGATGATCTCTGAGAGGATAATGCTTGAAGAAAGCGCTACTATTAGCGTAATCGATGGAGTTTCTCCGTTTTTTTATCTCAAGAAATTCTGCGTGTGTCATAAGAAGATGGAAGAAAATATTTTTTTGATTATTTTTGTGACCTTTTAGAATCTTTTCCCTTCGAATTTCTGACTGAAAGGTTTGCTTGTTTTTTCTTCTTTTTTTGTTTCACATAATAACTGACCGTCGAAGTAAACTTATTATTAAACGAATTTATATAGTAGCCAGAATGAATATTTCCTAACTATGATTCAACATGTACAAGCATATCGTTTGGTTTTCTTATTTCAGTTAAGATGTTTATTAGACTGGGCACTTCTTTCGATTGATTTTGCCTTGTTTATTATGGCTTGTCTTATGAATCATCATTGGTTTGTATACAATAGTAACTTCCATGTCAAAAGTAAACAATTGAACTCAATTGCAGAGATAGAAAATCTGTAAAGTTGAATATTTCTCGAAAATGATTCTCAGACGGAATACACTAGAAATAAATTCTAATTTATAGGAGCTCGACTTATTAAAATGTCAGACAATTTTATACGTTTTTTAAAAAATGGAGATTTTGTAAGTAAGAGAAAATCGATTCGACTTTCTACTAACGAGAGAACCTCTTCTAATGTACAATATGGTATGAGACGCTGAAGATTATTTTGTATAGTAGTGCTAGATGTCTATTATTTTATAATCATAGAAAGTTGCTTGCCAAGTTATCGACTTTTCCTTTCCTGAGGAAACCTCATGTGTTCCGGAAACTTCTTTTTATCTTTGATTATAAGCGTTTCACATCAGTCATCAAGAAATATATATCTCAGATATACATCAGAAAATTCGATAACTTAGCAAATAATAAAGGTGGCAGGCTGAAACTTCTAAGATTATAATAGATGACTAGCACTGTCGTAGGAAAAAAGGAAATCTCAGCCTTTCATACCGTGTTTTAGCACAGTTATGATTTTTTTAATATTTTATATAATGTATGGCATCGGCAAAAGAAAAAGTTTTATAAACTTTTGACAGAAGCAATAAGAGCCCAAATGCTTTTAGGGGTTTTTACCAGAACGCTATTCTCTACACCTGACCAAAGATCATTAAAATCAGATTTGTCCAACTGAAGAGCTTCCATCGTAAGTGGAAAATGAAAAGAGAAGAGTGATAGTAGGAGGAAGAAGGAGAGAAAGAGGGAGTATCAGCGTAGCTTTTGCAGAGAAATTATAATTTGCTGTTTTTTTGTCTTTTTTTTGTAAGAGAAATTTTTTTTCTTTTACATTTCGATGGATTTCCTGTGTTTGATGCTGTGGGACCTATCGTAGATTGAGTGCCGTTCAGTGAAGAAAGGTCGTGAAGAGCTTGGGGACGTGGGAGTCTTGACTTTCCAGAGATCCTCATCCTAAAACGTTTAATGGAATTTTGCAAATAACTTTCCTGATAGAAATTTCTTCCATTCCACCTACTCAAATCTTTTTTCAGATTTGCCCTGGCTGGTACTGTTAAGGAGAAAAGTCAAGAACACTTTGTGCTAAACCTTTTACCGCCACTTACATATAGGCGCTCCGATAAAATCGTCCTTCTTTTTCTAAAAATTATTTTCGATTGAGTAGTGTATATTAGTGTCACTAACTTATGGACTTTTTGAATGAAACAGTATGTCAAGGTTCGAGACTATCGAGAAATGAACGGTAGAAATACTTTCATCGTGAATCCACAAAACGTTCTAAGGTTAATCGATCGTCCACAATCCTTTCAGAACTAATAAACCACGCTGAATATTTTTGACATTTTATGTGTAGAAAAATCGGAAAGATCTGACTCAGCTACACACAACAGGCTATGTACGTAGTCGCAGACTCTATTAAATCTGTCTGTTAACAAAGCTGAACTGGATGTAATCACGACTTACCATTTTTCGCTTTTGCTTGGTCGTAGAAATTTTCGCGTACTCTGATCTTTGGAATCCAAGGAGATTGTTGTTTATCCTCTTCAACGCAGAAGTTCGATGGTTTGATAAGTTCATCTTTTAATTCTTTTAAGTCATCCATCCACTTTCTGAGATCTCGTTCATCATAGTCGTCATCATCTCTACCTTTACGAACTGTATTCGTTATTTTGCTCAATCTATTGATAAATGCGTCCTTGTTCTCATCGAGCAAGTTGACAACGTCAGCCCGACATTGTTCAGCAAGTTGTTTGACTTTATTGATAGAGTCTTTCTTCCATTCATCAATTTGTTTTAACAAAGGGTGAGACTCATTTTCATTTGGCGTTTCAAGCTGCTGTTTGAGCATATCATGTTCGTAAACAACATTGTCGAATTCTTTTAACAAATCTTGACGGTGATCATTGAAACACCGTCTGCACAATTCTTCTAAACAGCCATTGCATGTGATTATACCAGAATTTTTCTCACATTTTTTACATTGAACTCTTGATGTAGCTGCCATTTAAAACTCCAGTAAAATAGTTGTTCTTTTATTAAAAAAACTCCACTCTGTTTCAGTCTCGTATTAATTTTAACAATAGAAATCTCTACTTAGTGCGAGATAACAGCAAGAGGACCTAAGCTTCGTTTTTAATTTATCTAATGTATAATAAAAATTTCTATGTTTCTAACTTGTCAGTTTAAATTGAAAGCGTGTTCTCTGTAAGTTTTTATATTCGACACTGATTTAAAAAGAGTAACTATGTTGATAAAGACAAAATTATTTTTCCTCTGTTGCGATGACTGTTAACCTTCGTAAATAGAAACAGCAGAACAGCCACAACGGTACACGCTTCATTTTAAGATAAAATAGATTTTTTTTCTTTTTAGTAGTGTATGTAGAAAGCATATGACAACAGAAAGAAAAATAAATAAGTTACTGCCTGCGATAATTCAAATTTATTTTTCGAACAGAACGTCATCCAAGGGTCTGGATGCTGTTCGACAAGGATCACGAAATGCATGAGGATGAAATTTTCTCCACAAGAAATCAATTCGTCACTCGTACAGAGCACACATTTTACAATCGTAGAATCAGATAAACTAGAAATTTATCTAAGTTTAAAATAATTAATAATAGTTACCCACGTGAAGTTTGGATCAGAGAAGAACGATGTTCATAACGCTTAATTTCTAAATGAGCAAATATGAAAATTCAACATTTCTTCCTAAAACTAAATACAGGTCTTACCTGAATTATGCAAACGCGCCGAAGTAATCGTGGAGGTGAATAACCAGTTTATTACACACGACAATACATACATACGACAACCGAAAAGAAGCATTCTGAATAGTACAGTAAAGTAGTTTTCATGCTTTTGCTACACTTTTACTTCTAATAATTTACGAGAGGGGAGCAGTCCTCACCCAAACATGCTCTCAAATTTGGCCAGTTTGTAGAGAACACCTTCGGTGGTATGCCTATGCAATAAAAAAGTCGTTGGTCAAGTATTGACAGAGTTATTTTATAAAACCATTCTAGTTTTCGATATAAATGTCACATCCAAATGATTGAAATGTAGTTTTATAGAGAATTGTGTGTAGGTACAATTCCATGCAAAAACGTTGAAAAATGATATCTCTGAGCGTTGTTTAATTATTAATTAGTCCTAGTTAGCACTGATTAGTGGCACTCCAGTGGACAGAATAACTTTTCCTAATGTCAGAACAAATGGAAGCAAACCATGCGATGTATCATTCGATAGAACTTTTCGAGCTCTATCGATTGTCAGAGCCACTTTAAGTTTTGCCTTTTTTGTCTGAAAAATCCGTTTTAAATCATTTTTAGTAAAATATTTGATTCCTAAGCGGTTCATTACTGGATACCCACAACAGCCATTTTTAAAATAACTTTTGACTAACAATAGGTAGAGAGTTGCGGTTTTCATCATTCGATAGCCAAGACATCGACGCATCTTTCTGCAATAGACTAGTTTTCCAGGAGATGTCTGGAAAACCGACCCGTAACTCTGACCTTGGTTTTCAGCGGCTCAGGTGTGGTATTAGATTTCTTTCGAACCGCAGGACACGTTTTCGGTGACCTAGGGTGACATTGAAATCTCATAAAACATACCTAGTCAGCAACGCTGAATCTGATGGCAATGCTCGTTTTTGGAAAAGAATTCTAAAACGAGTTTATGCTGCGAGCTTCAGAGATATTTTATTTTGGGCATATTTGGGAGAGGACTGCTCCCTCCCGCCCCCCCCCCTCTTAAATTATTAAAAGTAAAGGCGTAGCAAAAACATGAAAACTACTTTACTGTACTATTCAGAATGCTTCTTTTCGGCTGTCGTTTGCTGGAACAAACCTTTTCATGATACAGTCAATATAGATTTAATAATCTCTTTCAATTAAATTAGCACTTTAGTTCGACTGCTGATTGTTCACACGGATAAACAATTTGATAATTTTTAATAAACTGGTTATTCACCTCCAGGATTACTTCGGCGCGTTTGCATAATTCAGGCAAGACCTGTATTTAGTTTTAGAAAGAAATGTTGCACTTTTAACAGAAATGTTGAATTTTCTTATTGGCTTATTTAGTAATAAATTATTAACGAAGGATATGTCGCATGGTTTGCTTCCATTTGTTCTGACATTAGGAAAAGTTATTCTGTCCACTGGAGTGCCACTAATTAGTGCTAACTAGGACTAATTAACAATTAAACAACGCTCAGAGATATCATTTTTCAACGTTTTTGCATGGAATTGGGACGTATGTGATATCATTGGTAACGGTGCGAGAAATAGTTCTGCTGGTGGTGGTGACGCATCTTTTGTTGATTTCGAATATGAATTTGTTGAAATTTGATGTCGTGAGGATGGAACATGTGACGATACAGAGACAGATGAAATCAATTGTTGTGTGATCGCTGTTAATGCTTCTAGTGGATTAAATGGCTGTGATAGAGAATCAATAACGACAGCGTCTGGTTGCTTGGTAGAAATCATTGTAGCTGCTAGTGATTGTGTATATCTGTCCGAAGCTGATACTACAACATCTGATTTTGACCAAGCTTCAGGTTGACTAATCACTGATTGGCTATGAATTGTTTATGTTGTGGCATATTATTCACGATTCCACGAACATCTACTTCCGCCATACAAATTTTCGCAGCAACCTTTTTAGAGTTAGTTGACTCCGACATGCTATGAGATTTTAGAGAGTTTCTCAAGCAGCGAAAACAATAATTAAACGTTTTTGTTGGACAGTAAATATTGTACAACTAATGTATAAGGATGAACGTCGATAACGAATAGGGACTAGCACCTAATGGATGCGGATGAGCATCACTAATGGATAAGGATAAATTGTATCGGTGTTGTTGTATGTTATTATAAACAGACTCTTTGTTTTGAACTGATTATATCAGCAAATAGTGATAAATCAACCTCAATGAGAGTAACGAAGATGAATTTGTTGTTTGTTGTAGAAGTACCGAAGCAGGATACAAACAGATAGTTCCCGGGTCAGCGACACCAATTTGTGAGCGTCGTTTAGGAGACGTTCAAACTTCCGCAACGGTTTGGCTAACTTCTACGAGTTAACTTAAGTACATTTAAGTTAACTGTATTTTATTTTATCTTATTTGTTTCGGCTTAAGATTTTCTTCTCTTTTTTCTTTATTAAAAAAAAGGAAAAGTTAAAAGTAGATGTTAACTTAAAATAAAAATTTAAAATTATGAACAAATTTCGAAAGAAAAGGTTACAAGTCAATTTTTGTAGCCTAGAAACAATATATTATATTCAATTCACGAACACTGTCAATAATATTAATACAATTGACATTGTCGTGTGGACTAATTTTCTTTCTTTCGTATTTCCAGTACGTGTACATAAACGCGATACACTCTGATAAATTCGTGTCTTGGCATTAACCGAGTTGGAGAGAAAGAAAATATAGACAAGAAGTATGTTCTTAGCTAAATCTGGACCAAGTGAGAGATACTTTTCCATTTTTCTGAAACTATATGAAGAGAGTAAGACAAGGAGCTTTCGTCTCAACATCAACGTATATGTTACGTGATTGCATAAAGACAAAAAGTAGATAAATGTAGATAAATATTTGTATCTTATAAAATATCGACGAAGAAATTTGAAACGGAAAATAGTATGGTCTCAAACGTTCAACATGTACTGCTTCAATTACGCGATTATCTGCTAAGGATATTATTTAATAATCTATTGGCGTAATTTTGTTGGTAATTTGGAATGGGCCGACCCAAAGCAGATCTAGCTTAGGAGCTTTTTAGATTACACTAAAATAATAGTAACGGGCTTCGAGACCGTTACACCCACCCACCCCCTTAAAGCTTTTAGTTTAAACACGCTTCTGCATTCTCTTTTTGACAGTTGGTTATAGTATTTAAAACGTATTGATAAAGTAAATTTGAAAGGTCCGTCACTGCATGCTGTTATTGAAACAAATCCCGATGCTCTAACCATAGCTCATCAACTGAAACATGATCATCCTTATCCTCATCAACGTAGACTATTACCGCTGTATGGTATACCAATACTTGTTAAAGATAATATTAGGACGGATGATAAAATGAATACAACAGCGGATTATGCTTTATTAGGGTCAAAAGTGCCACGCGATGCATTTGTTGTAAAGAAATTGAGAGAAGCGGGTGCAGTTATTTTGGATAATGAATTGTTTATAAAAGATGTCATCGCAACAAGCATGAAAAAATATCGGGTATCGTATCAGGCAATGCGATGCACAAAAAATTTCAAACAATTGGATCGTGTCTTCGCCCAAGATATCATGATAAACTCACGATCCAGTGCTGGATAAATCTGAATATACATTTTTAACATATGAATCTAACCCAATACCAATGGCGATACATCGGCCGCTATAGATGTCGATGTATCTAGCTGATATTATATATGACGATACATCCAGATGCCTGTCCTTTAGGGACTTTTACCCCGATACTAACGGTGTTGCATCGGTCGATACAGATGATGGCGTATCTAGCTGTGACACTATATGTTGATACAGCAAGATACAAATTTTCATACTAACTGTATTGCAGAGTTGTAACTGTGCCACATCATTTATGATACCCATTCTAATGACAATTACTTATGGCACATATCTACAGGGTGCCACTAAATAAACGGAACACCTACATCTATCTTGTTTTAAACGCTTTTTCTCTACAAATTTGACTATATTTTTATTTTTTAGTATAAATATGAAACGAAATTTGAGAGATGGAGGCCATTTTGAATAAATCTTTTTATTTATTGTTGTTTCTGTTGTTTTGCTAGGTTTTGAATAAAAATTTGTAGAGAAAAAGCGTTTAAAACAAGATAGATGTAGGTGTTCCGTTTATTTAGTGGCACTCTGTATTATTTGGTGTTTGCTGTTTCATTACAGCTTTGTGCATTTTCTTGTTTTATCCCGAAACAAAGAACCAAAGTCTGGAGAAAATAAAACATCTATTTGCAACTTCATCATCCGTCATTGCTCCATTTTGTAGAAATAGAAAATCAGACAATAATGACATAATTCTTACACAAGACAGCATTAGCATGGATGCTGTTCTTTAGTGTTTACTTAGATTATCTTGCTTACTGCTGGTCAGAATAATTAATAAATTTAAAGAATTATCTTGTTGCATATATCCTAGTTTAATGCAGTATCTAATCATCCGTTGTTAATTTGGTGAAGAAATTCTAGAAATACGAAATGTTATGAATGTGTCATCGCTGTTAAGATACGATGGCGTTAGTTACATATTTCAGGGCTTCTGTCCAGACCCCCTCGCCCCGCCCGGATCAGAAATATCCATTTTCGTCAACAATATCTACTTTGAGAAAAGCACGTGGCTGAATATTCCAAAGTATCTACTTTTTAATGGCATAATTTTTGTGTCAATAGGACAGGTTTTTCATAGGTTCTCGGCGAGTTTTCCAAAAGCCCTACAGCAAAAAAAAGTGACTTTTTTGCACTTGTATTGCATAAGCGCAGGCATGTGTCGCACATGTGCGCACACATGTTCATTAGATCCCCCCATGGTCGATAACCTATCGCAAAATATCAACAAATTGATTAACGCTCAAACAACTTTTAAGTAAAACGCATTTAACAGAATCAAAACTTACTGTGCGGTTTTCTGAAGGCTGTTTTTTATTTGTAGATAACACCTATAGCTAGGGTTTGACAGAGTCCGATTTTCAAATTATGCTGCCATTTTTTTATAGAAATAAGGATTTCTAAGAAATCTTCCACAGATTTTTCAGATCTTAAAGTTCTATTAAGCACGAGAGATCAGTAAATGAGAAATTCAAAAATCGGACCCAGCTCCTAGCCATATATGTTCAGTGCAAAACAAAAACAGCCGGAGCTCTCTATCATTTACCGGGAATGGAAATTCTTGCACGTGGTAGACGCCTGTTTTGGGCTCTTGCTGTGACGCCCTCTCGCGAATAGTTGCATCTGGCGCCAAAAGAACTTTGGTTACCACACTTTGACATGGTCAACATTCCCTGACAGTTTTGTTCAGATCAGGCCCCCTGGGCTGAGATAGATTTCTGACTCGGGGAGAGGGGCTTAAAACGTCCAACAAATCTGACTAAAATATCTCCTATAGCTGTCACACAGTGGGCATTTTTTGCTAGAGCAGGCGGACTTTAGCTTTATGAGTGAACTAAAATTTCATGAACCATTTTTTTTAGGTTTTTCATGATCCTCTTTCTAATGGCATGAGATCTGGGTTTTGAAAAAGTTTTCTAAGGAGTTTTCCAGCGATCCGATCTTTCGAAAACCCTTCAGAAAACTTTCTCAATATTTAAAAACGATGCTACTGGAAAGAGCATTGTCGAAAACCTATAAGAAACATGTTTCGAGTCGTTCAGGTTACTTTATCTTGAAATTCAAATTTTCAGCA